CGAAATATTACTAACATGTGTCAGATTTCTATCTACTAACTCTACATAAGCTAAACTTGTAAAAGTTTCTGCTTCATATTTTTGTTGTATGACAGCTCGTTCTTGAATTCTTCCCTACGATCTGCTTTTGCATGATCATACAGTTCAATGGCACAAAGACCCCAAAGGCAAAGGTGGTAAAAAAATGGAGAATCCCGCCCTTTCACCGTTTGTACTCGCGTTATCAAGATGTTTACGTCGTATCCCCATATTGCTACAGTTCTGCTATCAAAAAATCTTTGAGCTTCGCTTTAACCAAATGTTAAAAAGGGGTATGATGTAGTCAACCCCACAATGAAATCCTCAATTGCAACCTTAGCATCGAAAGAAAACAAGTGCTGCGTAATGTTTTTCATATCGCACAATTGAATAAAGGAGATTTACCTGAAGATCTTCAGAGGTCTTTTGGTTCAAGTTTGTCATATCTTCTATTCGCCTGTTTACACGAGCAACAACTTCATGATCTTCTTCTTTCAACCAAGCGCTGCAATAAATAAAAATGAAGAAAGTCAAACCCTTACGTTTTGTTAGTAGAAAACAGATCATGATAAATAAAACTTCAAAATGGGAGAACATCACTAAGTTATTGTAAAAGACAATGATATTGTTATTGTAATACCTCTTACTAATACGATAGTCGGCTGGTTCTAGATCACCTGTCACAGCATTCTGTACAGTAGCACGTTTCAGCTGAAAACGAAACACCATACATGCAAGGAGGGGTATTAACAAAGGGCAACATGGGAAAAATTCATGAGAAAATTTGTATGTGGTTATGTTATCACTCTGCACTTCAAAGGGCATAAAAATATTCTAAAAAATGATGTCATGCTAATGGCACAAAGGAGATGGATAACTGCAGTCACATCCAAGAGTACTACCTTTTAGAGATACGATAATCAACGGTGATTAGAGAACCGTCTCCGGCTTTTACAGTAGCACGTTCCAGCTCAAAATTCATTGCATTGCTAGATTATTGCTGCTAACGATATGTAAATGATACCTTGGGTG